GAAGGACTACAATAATAATAATAATAATTATTATTATTCTAATTAAAGGACTAAGTGGAACCTCTAATCAGAGGTAATATAAAGCAAGTATTTCAAATCAATTCGAGTGGCTTATCTATCATTACTTCAACAAATTATTCATTATCCAATAAATCAATTAGTGTTTCAATTACTTACAACTAAGCAAGTAAGGAAGTAAATGAGGTTGGTTTCAATTGAGAAAAGATTCACCAGGATGTGCTTCCTCCTAGTCTACGCTGTATCGACGTTGCAACACCCTAATTCGATCCATTTTAACTTATACCACAGAGAGTTCTAATCTAGATTGGTCTCCCTATTCGGGCTATCCAATCTTGATCAATTGTACTAATTAGAGAGGTGTACCTACAAATGACCCAGGTAATTGAGACAATCACAAGTAACTCCCACAATTGGGTAAAACTCGCTACGACACTAAGGATCCAATCACACTCGTTCATAGACCCAAGTGATGAATTGACATGCTCTTAATCAACATAGGAAAATATTCTCTTTCCCATGTCAATTAGCCCCAAATGGAGGGAAGTGATAAAGAACCATAAATTTCATGAATAATACTCGTATATGTTATGATCTCTTGTTTTTTATTGCTTATCATTCGATTTCATATGTGTTTATGCGAGAGCACTCGTATATGTTATTTGTATCATTCTTTATATATGACGATGAGAAACTGCTTATGTATGATCATTGATTATTGATGATTGTCTTTGATTGCACTCTAGAGATAATTACTAGGTCACTAGTGCAATAACCTTGGTTGAATCAATCAACCTTACATGTTATTTATTAGGGTAATGATTATTTATTAGCCAAATCTTTTTCGGATTCTTTTTTACTATAGTCAAACCTATCAAAATACTAAGAATTAGTCAAATGTTAACTTTCAGTTAGCAATTTTGTAGTAAAATTGACTTGGCAACAGTGGCGGAGGGAGAGGGTAACAGGGTAGGTCCCGGAACCCAACCTGGTTCGAGAGAAAATGGTTAAATTAGGTATGATAGTTAATTGATATCGAAAACTAGGTCGCGTTTAATTGAGAATAGTTGGTCGAAAATTTTTGTGTTTGAATCTTGGCGACCTCATTTCTTAAGCATGCGGTATACAGATTTGTACAAACATCAATTTCGTATAAGTTGACTTTCTTATAAGGGATCAGGGTAGTAAATGGTATAATATATTATTGAAATCTTTCAACAACTCGATTTATTGATACTAAATATTTGTTTAAGAACATCATTCGAAAGCGAACGACTAGGTATATCATGAATTATTGGTTGGTATAAGATTTATTATTAAACCTCTATAACGTCTCGAGGTATTGATACTAACGGTTCTTAACAAAGAACACCATTTGAAACACTACGACTAACTAAATCAATGATTGTTTGATATATATGCAGAGTGATATTCTTGATATTTTCGACTGCTAATGCATTTTAATTTATCAAAAGTTTTCAACGTAAGATTATATTAAAAAAACTATTTTATCATATTTTTTTCGAGGTGGACCTACCTTAAACGGAATCCTGGCTACACCACTGCTTGGCAACATGATACTGACTTGGAGAGACACATAAAGGTGAACATTTCAAAATTTTAGTATTTTAACGAAGAAAAGAGTTACAAAATTATTAACAATGACGTAAAAATTGCTAATATTTTGATACTTATGAAAGATTTGACTAATTAATAGCATTTTAATAGGTTAATTTGGATGATATAAAAGATTTGATAAAAAATAAACATTATCCTATTTATTATATACCAGTGTTTATAATTGATCTAAGGCATTATGCGAGAGCTTGCTTAAGTTAATTTATTTTTTCTATTGCATGATGCAACATCGCAAGTAAAATAAGGTTAAATACACTTGTATATCCAAAACTTTCACAGCCTGTTTGGAATGAACAATTTTGTAAGAAATGGAATTCCATTTCCCTAAAGTGCATAAATTCCTATGTTGGAATCAAAGGTTATGTTGGAAATGGAATTCTTGACCCCCGAAACTCCGGAATTACAATTCCGATCAAATATGGTCGGACTTCCTCCAATTCTTTGGAAATAGTGGGACCCACTTCCTTTTAACCATTCATTTTCCTGAAACGGCCCTAGGTGTTGCTCTATGTTTCTTGTGCAATTTTTTCTTTTTGGCTTTGTCAAATAATCTTCTTTTTTTTTTACTATGAGCGTGTGAAAAATACAAGATGAATAAAAAAATTCCCTTTTTTATGATCTGCTCATATTTTCTTTTTTTGGTTTGTTAGCTATGTATTCTAGATTTGTTAGATGGTTCGTATTATATTGTATATTCTTTTTACTTGTTTGTGGTTTTGTTAGAGCATAAATTGCATGCTTAGAATTTATTTTGTATGAAACTTCCAACATCGTATTAAATATTTTGTTTAATACATGTATATATATTGGTACCCATTTTATCCGTTTAAAACTTTCGTATCCATATTATTATTAGGCAATTTTGTTTTTTTCGGTTCATTTTACGCCTCCGGTAGTAAACACGTATAAAACCTTCATAACACATTTAATATCTATATTTAATGAATTAAATTGCAAACTTAACTATTATGTATATATTTATTTATTTTTAAAATAATTAATTCTTATATTTTATAACTATTGAAGTACTATTAAAGTACCATTAGTTTAGAGATGACGTAAAACGCCAGTACGTATTTTATATATAAATTACCCTATCATATTTTACTAACTATGATATTTATGATTATAAATCAAATTATAAGTTGTACCATAGTAAGATATATTGTGTTTATATCGTGCTCTAATCGAGATTCAATCATTTCATACCGATAAAATTATATATCGGCTTGGATTTCGATCAACAGTTTTTTAATCAGACCACCAATATAGTATTGTTTAGTAGACACTCATTCATATAAGTAAAAAGCTTATAAGGACATTACCGTAAAAGTGTTTATAAGAATTCATTTCCATCTTCTCCGAACACAAAAGCATAAATCAATTCCAAAAGTTTAGGATTTGTACCAAACAGGAATTTTGAAAATGAATTCCTACAGGAATTCCGATTCTCATAAGAAATGGAATTATTTTCCATATGGAATTGGTTCCAAACAGGCTGTCACGGTTGTGCCAATAATATCCAAATTTTCCGAAATACCAGTTATATCCAATTCCTTCACATTCTTTAACGGTGTTTTTGGATATACAAGTGTATTTAACCAAAAATATATTGAAAAATGGATTGTTTTTGGCAAAGAACAACTTTAAAACATGGATATAAGTGACATTCCGGGAAATTTGAATATTATTGGCACAACCGTGAAAGTTTTAGATATACAAGTGTATTTAACCTAAAAATAATTCGGAAGAGGATTGAGATCGATTAAATCATAGAAATAAAAACATTTTTTTATGAATGTTAATTGTTTGATCGCATGCTAAATTATCTAAGTGAAACTATCCCAAACAATGCCTTACTTCCTGATTTCCTACTAAACCCTTTTACTCCTTTCTCTCTTTTACTACTTGTTTTTACTTTCTGCCTCTAATTTATTGCTAACTCTAATCACCCTTACTTCTTGCACTTCACTTTCTATTAGTTAGAATTTGGCGCTAGAGGCACCTCAACCCCACGTAATTACTCTAAATACAAGTAACTAGTCCGAAATAGAGAAATTGTCAGGAGGCCCTGCAAAATACGAGCTATACATGATCTAGGATTTACTTTTTTGGTACATATTGAAAAAGGTTAACTACTTCTGCTCTTCTATTTTTACATCCTACACCCTTTCTATACCACATGTGTCTTCACTATTTGTTGTTTTGGTTCTTGTAGAATATGATCTAGGAAAGGAGAGAAAATTGAGAAAGTCAATCGAGCAATTTGTCTACATTACTGTATTCAAAATTTCGATTTTAATCTGAAAATCTTACGATTTTATTTATGAGTTTCGATCTTGATTTTACTAAAAATAATTTGAACCTTAAAATCCTATAAAATCCCGATTTAAAACTCTAAAACCCTTAAATTTTACGATTTTGAACGATTTCCAGTTTCATGTCAATTGGAGCAAAATTAGGCCGGCCAGGTTGGGTTTTGCCCATGAACAGGGTCAAATCTACTTACCCCCAACCCAACATAATGAACAACACAATCCTAACTCGATAGGTGACCCCCAATTTATTTTCGTTCTACATTGTTTTCCCACCCAACCAACATCGAGCCGAGCACATCGTTGATACATATGGTCCAACAAGCTTTTCATGAGACGCAAAAATTATAAAATTGTACCAGAGGTCGTACCCAATAAGTCAAATAAGTATTATTATGCTGTTAAATTGTCATAAGACTCTTTCATACTCGTTAATCCTATACTCTTTATACGATCTATAGAAATGTAACAAATTTCGGGTGGCTGAGCGTCAAAAACAAATTTCGGTGGCTGAGCCTCAAAAAAAAAATATTTTCCGGTAGTTGAGAAGATAGACTCACAACTCTCGCCGACAACAGATTCACTTCTAGTGTTATAGATCCTCTTCTCGTTCACTATAAAAAAACCCCGCTTGGAAGCTTGTCGAACTAAGAAACTCCCTCCCTCCCTCCCTCTCCCTTCGCCTTCCTAAACAAAAAAAACACAATGGGCGCTGGCACCGGTACAGAGTCGCCGCCGCCGGCGACGCCAGCCGAGCTTCACGTCGCTCTGTTCCCATGGTTCGCATTCGGCCACATTTCCCCCTTCATCCAACTCGCCAACAAGCTTTCCCTCCAAGGCAACATCCGCATTTCCTTCCTCTCCGCTCCGGGCAACATCCCTCGCATCTCCGCCTCCCTCCTCCCTTCCCCAAAGACCCAAATTATCCCTCTCCCGATCCCCGCCGTCCGCGACCTCCCCCCGGGCCTCGACAGCACCGCCGACCTCCCTCCCCACCTCGCCGACCTCCTCAAGATCGCGCTCGACCTGATGCAGCCACAGGTCAGGGAAATCCTGCTCCGCCTCAGCCCGCATTTCGTCTTCTTCGACCACGTCCAGCACTGGCTCCCCGAATTGGCCTCCCATCTCGGAATCAAAACCCTAAGCTTCACCGTCTTCTCCGCCATCTCCACCGGCTACCTCACCGTCCCCGCGAGGATCCACGGCGGGACGACGATCCCCTCCGTGGACGACCTGAAGTTCCCACCTGCAGGGTACCCTGCCTCCACCTCGTCGTCGTCGTCATCGGCCCGAATGCAGACGTTTCAGGCTCGGGACTTCGCTTACGTGTACAAGAAGCTAAACGGCGGCGTGACGTCGAGCGTGATCGATCGCGTCCTCGAGTGTCGGAATGCTGCCACCGCTCTGGTGTTCAAGTCCTGCAATGAGATGGAAGGAACCTACTTGGACTACTTGCGAACCCAGTTCAAGAAACCGATTCTCTCGGTCGGACCGCTGGTCCCCGAGCCGCCCTCGGGTGTGCTCGAGGAGGATTGGGCTGCCTGGTTGGGGAAGTTCCCAATTGGGTCCGTCACATTCTGCAATTTCGGCAGCGAGACGTTCCTGACGGACGGGCAGATACGTGAGCTGGCTTTCGGGTTGGAGCAGACCGAGCTGCCTTTCGTTCTGGTGCTGAATTTCCCGGCCCAGCTCGATGCTCGGTCCGAGCTGAATCGAGCGCTGCCGGAGGGGTTCTTGGAGAGGGTGAAGGGCAGAGGAGTTGTGCACACTGGCTGGGTGCAGCAGCAGCTCATACTAGCACACGGTAGCGTGGGGTGCTACCTCTGCCACTCCGGATTCAGCTAGCTGATCGAAGGGATTGTGAACGACTGTCAGCTCGTGTTGCTGCCGCTGAAGGGGGATCAGTTCTTGAACGCCAAGTTGGTGGCTGGAGACATGGAGGCTGGCGTCGAGGTGGATCGGAGGGATGAAGACGGGTATTTTGGAGCGGAGGATGTTTGCAGGGCTGTTAAGATGATCATGGTGGATGTTGACGAGGAGCCTGCCAGGTCCATAAGGAAGAATCATGCCAAGTGGAAGGAGTTTCTATTGGATGGAGAGGCTCAGGGTAAGTACGTTAGAGACTTGGTGGCAGAGCTCAGGGCTATGCTAGTGTCGTCGCCGTCGTCTTCGATTGCGTAAGGCTTTTGCTTTGGACGGCGCCATGGATGGATGAAGCTATCTTGTTCGAGGACGAAGTTCTGTCATTTGTGTTTTAATACTACTACATTGTCGCACTGCAAGCTTGGAGTGCAACTAAGTTCTAAGGCCGGTTTAGATCTTGTTGTAGCTGCAACTGTGCTAGGGCACGCAACAAGAAAGAAAGAACTGGCAATTAGAACAAGTCAGTATCCCCCTTTGTTGGCAAAGAATAAAAGTATCTTTGTGCTTTCTGTCTGTTCTCCAGATTTCCCTTCTGGTTATCTTGAGATAGAGGGTGGAGATTCAGTTACAACAGTGCAATCAATTCCCCAAGGTTTCCTTCAAAATGCTGGTAGTTGGAGCAAGCCAGCTGGCACCTATCAAATTCCTAAATGACACTTTACAGAAGAGAGAAATATAAGAATTACAAATCTTGCCTATAGCTATACACCCGCCTTATTAGGTCACTTCACTTCCAGAGATATCAGTCAGAGGTAATGAGTTTGCTGCAACGGGGACGACATCGCCAACAATGGATATTCTAAGATGTTGGGTTGAAGTGATGCAATTGCAAACCCGGATGACTGCGGGACACCGACTGACGGATGCTGAAGTGAGCTGTGAAGAATGAGATCAAAATGTCAGGCAATCACGGCCGATGTATTCCTAACAAGACATGAATTGGTTTCCAGCAACAAGAGTGACTAACCTGAATGATAAAGATAGAGATGACTCCACATTAGGGTGAATCCGGTTTTGAGCAGGAGAGACAAGGGACCAGAATACTGATGACATGTGTGAAAGGACAATGGTTTAGCAGAGAACAGAGAGAATTAAAAGGTATCAAACTAGTCATTGATCAAGGTCTGGTTTACAGAGGGCAGTACACCAAGGAAAATCACCTGACTGGTCTTGATGATCCTTCAAATCGGAACAAAACAAAATGTCCTGTGTTTATGAAGACGAACAGAAGTTCAAAGTTAATGTTATGCCTTAGGGCTTAGTGAAAAAGTACAGACGTCTATTTCCTAGTACCCAAAAACGCACCTTTTCCATGCCTTGAGAAATATTGTGCACTCTCTCTGCAGAAAACAAGTTTTCGGGTTAGACAGATGTGCTTTTCGTTTGAATGCGTGGCGTGGTGGAGGGCGACATTAAAAGTTTGTTTTCCCCAACCAGCATGCAGACCCTTCGGTTTGTGAACACAAATAGGCAATTTGCAAAATAATCGAAGGTGAAGATAGTGTTTACCTAAGTTCGAGGCACTAGGCTTCACTGCCAGGGTTAATCCCAGGAAACAGTCATCATTTTGTGCACCAAAATCCCAGAGGTTTAATTCCAGGTTTGGCATTGCCCCTGTTAGATGACATCAGAAGAAAGCGATCAACTAATAGAACAGGGAGATACTCTCATAAAAGCTAGAATTATACAAAGACTCACCAATATTGTTCAGGCTGAGTTCAAGCGGGTCTCGGAGCGGGTAAGGAACTCTCATAGCAACCTATTCAAACAAAATTAGTAAATACATATTTTTTACACCAATACTAAATAAGTTTTCCATAAAAATAAAGTAAAATTAAGGTTTAAGCGCAATTAAAATACATGGAAAAACGGATGTTGTAGAGCCTGATCAGCAGTTGGTCTCTTATGTGGGTCCCAGGAACACAGTTGCTTTCAAAAGGAAGTAGGAAGTAGAAGAGATCAGCAAAATAGGTTAGTTGGGTTGAAATGTAAGCTTTGTAAATAGCTGGACTAGTAGGAAGCAGAGTTCATTCAGTATTCACCACAATCAGATCAAGCGCTTCCGAGCTGCCATTGGGTATGATTTCAGATAAATTAGCTGGTGTAATCTGCCAGAACATTAAGCATAAGTGATAAGACAGAAGCAGTTTAGTCAACAAGAAAGCAAACCTTTTTTTTTAGTTTTGCGGAAGTACTTCAGCTTACCTCTGAGTGGCTGATATTTATCAATCGAGATATGTTTGTAGCCTCAGGAAACGTATTCCAATCCGGCGAACCCAAAATGCAGCAAATCTTGTATAGTTGATCAAGTTCACTGCCCACACATAATATTAAATTAAATTTCAGGATTTATTTTACCCCACTCCAGATACTAAAAACTTACAAAACCAAACTGCATAGCATGGTTCACGAAATACTAAATGCATTTTAAGATAAGCGCATAGATAGTTATAGTTAAAAAGACTATTATGCGTACCAAATCTTTGCATACTCATTGCCCACCCATATTAGATAAGATAAGATTAAAAAAAACAGCACAAAAAAGCAATATAATACCAGTTATGTATTAAAAAAGTTTATGCAGGACACTCATATAGATAGAGATATGTGGACAAGTTGACAGAATTATAATTTTAAGGCATTACAACCACCGTCCAACAAAATAGATAAGTTTCCCAGGAATGCATTTTGTATCTAACACGAGAAGGGAAGTTTGAAACTATGTGGAAGCATAAATGGCTAACATGAAAAAGAAAGAAAATAATCTATCAAGTTTCAGACAGCAATGAGACATTACAACATTCAGATTACCTTTCTCCAGGGAAGATAGGTGATAAAGTGAATAGCTCAGCAAGTATTGCGCCAACCGCCCACATGTCTGCATATAGTTTAGTTGTTAGTTATAATAAATGGGATCACTAAGAAGTAAGAATAACGGGAACATGAAAATGCAACGGCCCGTTAATTGCAGAAAAGAGGAACAATAGCATATAGTGGCATCTGAACAAGAGATCCTACTACGACAGATCATATAGCATTTCACAGCGAGATCCTGACGCAGAGAAGTCACCACAGTAGATATAGAAGGAGAACTGAAGCATACCAATAGCTGGAGTGTATACTGATGACTGCAACAAAACTTCTGGAGCACGGTACCTGCAGAACATGGTATTTCTTCAAACATAAAACAACCCCCTTTAAGGTGCATTAAATTAAACAAGACAATCAAAATATAAATGGTCACTCAAGCAACTTCGGAACTTGACTTACCATCTCGTCGAGACATATTCAGTATAAGGAGGCTGTGATGAAACTTCTCTAGCCAGTCCAAAATCAGCAATTTTTAAAACTTCGTTCGTCACCAGCAAATTTTCTATAATAGAAATGCTTCGAGTTATGACTTTTACCTCACAATAAACTTCTAGAAGAAGAACCAGAGCATTAACCTGAACACAACTTCATAAGTAGAAGTATCTTACCAGGTTTTAGATCACGATGAAAATATCCATTTTTATGCATATTGGAAAGTCCTTGTAGCACCTGGGACATAAAACTCCGTATTTCTTTCTCTGAGAAAGGCCTTTCTCGTTCCTTCATTATTTGGTACAAATTGTGTTCCTGGAAAATGGAAAAGCATCACTCACTAATAGTCCTCAAAGTCGGCAAGTTGGGGAGTGCTAAAATGAAGAAAATTGGCTCGCTCATATCACGGAGAATCAAGTCCGAAAATAAAATTGGAAAAACTCAAGGAAATCGTTGTGAAATGCTGAAGGAGAAGTGAAAGGAGCAGATTGAACGGAACTGTGGATATTGAAACTACCAAATAATTTCTATATTAGAAAAATGTTTTACTCAAAACGTGAGCATTAGTCATCACTGATATCAAATAATAGCTCAAGGGTACTTGGAGCAGTATGATGGTTGATAATCTCATTAATGTGGATAGGGAACACAAATCATACATATTAAGAAATTAAAGCGAAAGCTGCATACCATGTACTCAAAGATGAAAAATAGCTCATTGTTTTCCCGGACCACCTCTTTCAACTTTATGATATTGGGATGATTCAATTTTCGAAGGGCCTGCAAAAGATAGTGTTCAAGACCATTTCCTTACTGGAAACCTGAGAATAAAGAAGATGATACATAATTTGGGTATGTACCTTCACTTCTCGTAGGTTCATACACTCTTCCCAAAAATAGAACTTCCGTTTCATTTTCTTCACAGCAACCTATGATAATAATGCAATTGTTAGATTTCATCTAAAGGCAAAACAATAATACATGTTTTTAGAACAAAAATTGTACATATTAATGTCATCCAAAATGCAACTTTCAGTATGATCATGCGATGGAAGATTTCTCGGTAAGCAACAAATGTTAATTACAAATTAGGAAAGACCTCAATCAGAAAGAATAAAAATTACCCAACAGTGACTTTATCTTGTTCCGCCTGGTTCTTAAGCACCGTATTTTAGGATCTAACAGAAATTACTAGGTTGGTGATGCTTTTCACAACAGAACCATTGTAAGCAACACCTCAAGACATACTTGACTCTCCAATATTTGAGTTGACTATTGCTTAAACATTTAGCAGCAAACTCCCAAATTCAGTACTAGATAGCTCTGATTACAAAGAATATGTTATAGTATAAAAGTGAAAAAACATATGGTCGGACCCAAAAGAGGAACAAAAATAAAGAAGCTAGAGCTTTACTTACAATTTCACAGGTGTCTGTATTGATGGCCCTAAATACACTACCACAGGTGCCATCACCGAGCTCTTCCAACATTTTATATCTGGATAAATTATAAATAAGGAGAAGTCTGGGATAAACATCATAGAAGAGCAGCTTAAACGTGAGAAGTGGACTAGTGAGCTACATACCTTTCCATTATTGAAGTTCCAGTAGGTGACAATTAAGAAACTGTCAGAGGACTTTGGTGAACCTCCTAAAAGTGGGCTCTACTCTTCTGCTAGTGTGCAAGTTACTAACTGGCACGAATGCTCCAAGGCTAAACTGTAGCTTGTTATGTACAACTTCGACAAGAACCCGATAGTCATCATAGGACCAGTTATATACTGGTGCAACTATAATCAACATTCTTAGTGCAGCTTCTACAAGCTGCAATGATCTCGTATCATTTAAAGTAACCAGTCAACGCCCAACTATAGAGCTCCACCAATCAAACTTGAAGTCAGCATGCCAACTAATCTAATAGTGTTCGCTCTCCTATCATATGCTCCTCTGTCCAAAACCAGCTAAACTGCAATCCTGAAATGAGAATAAAAGAGGGGAAAGAAATCTTTAGATTTCTAACCAAAAAATCGGCCGACTGCTGCACAGGACATGGGGAAAGGGGAAGAGTAGTTCAAAGATCTTTACACTATCAAACTCTCTACACTAGAAAGACCACCAACAACATAAAGAAAATGACTGGTCTAGGAAACACCCATTAGTAGTAGAATTAGCAATGCTTGCAGAACACCGCAACGTCTTATGCTTTAAAGGAAACCAACGTGCACATATCATCCATGAAAAAGCACCAGAAAAACACAGAAACAGAACCAAAATCACCAGGAAACAGAGAATGAGTATTTAGGGATGCAATCGGCTGGCACTTGAAAGTATTAATATCATATCTTGATATTCAACTAGAGAGCAAGAAAATAGAGAGACTCGCTAATTTCAAAAGAGGGTTCTTGTTCAAGTTCTTAAAGTTTTACTTCTTCTATTTCAATTTCGTAAAAGATGAAATTTTCTTAAGATGGAAGAGATTCCCAGAAGGAGGTGTAAACTTAGCACCCTAAAAAACCCGCATCAATTCAATGAGGAAAACCCCCTCACCTATGATTGAGGGAATATGAATATTAGAAGATAAACAATGAAACAGTTGAAGATTTCTTACAATTGGAATCCATCATCAACAAATAAATAGAAGAACGAAAAATCATCAATCGCCAATCCAAAGTATATAGGGTCTGACTGCTATTTGCTGAATAGATGTCTGAAATTGAAGGCCATCGGCGAGCTGCAACGCAGAAGTCCAAAAGCAGACGAGGAGAAACACAACTTCGAGAAAAAGAGAAAACCGTAGAGGAAAGACGAAGCTAAGAGAATCTTAAAGCGTACGCTACCGACGTCGACCTCCTCAACAGCTCAATTCAGACCATTATTATTATTCATTCAGTTGATTTGTTCTGTAAGGACTGAATCAAATGAACACGGAAATCACTCCGCTCTTCTCCTGTTTTTTCTTTTTTCATCTACTCCCTCCCCTTTTCCTTTTTATCTCGCGCTTTCTCAGAAACCAAACAGAACTCAGACTGGGAAAGAGGGGAGAGAAACCGAAAACTCCAGCTACATTACCGATAGCGAAAAAAAGAAAAAAGAGCTCATAAACCCGTAATTGCGAGCCTCGGCGTTGCAAAGCCATGAAATCAGATACGCGGAAACACTGCGAAACTGAACAATCCAACAGAGACTGGACAGAGAACTCACCTTGGATGCTCGCCGGACACCCTGGAGGGAGAAAGCGATCCAAAATGAAGAAGAGGGATCACCAATGGAAGAGAGATTCTCGCCGAAGGGAACTAGAAAGAAGGATTTGGAGAGGAAGAGAGAAATTTAGATAACTGGAAGGAACCATGAGAGGGGATTCCGCAGAAACGAAGGAGAAGAAACCGAAGAAATTTTCATGAAAAAGGAAAAGGAAGGAGGAAGGCAAATTGTCAATTAAACTATTGAATAAACAAATTCTTTTGCTTTTGGTTTTTCTTTTCTTTTCTGTTTGTTTAATTATTTATTCTCGTGTCATGACAAACGAAGCAAATGCTTGGCTGTGGCGTGGGTGTAGGGAAGGAGAATGGGCGGTGGTCCCACTTGTAATTAATTATTCATAAAACAATTGTATAATTACATGATTGTCCCTCAAATTACTTGCATATTCCAAGGATCTTTTGGTGCTTTCTTATGGCGGAGGGAGGTTTATCTTGATATCCATAATGCAGACGATTAGTTATAATAGGATAAGAATTGGATCAGAAGGATCCAAGCTGAAATGAATAAAGAGTAGCATACGTATAACTGAATTCTATAAGTTTTAAAAAATTCAATTTAAAATGAATTTTTTTGTTTGGTATTTAAAAGAATTTATTTTCAATTTAAATTTTGAATTCTACGAAATTGAAGCTAGTTATAGCAATTCCGCAGAATTGAGATGTAATTTCAAAATGAATTCCACAAGTATTTCACTAATTATAATAATGACAAAATTATCCACATTTATTAATTAAATTATTTCTACAGCGGCAATAAATAGATATGCACGCATGACCCTACTCTTTTCGCCGGTATGTTAACATGATGTATATAGTTTCTCCTAAACTGTGCATTCTGGGTGACTCCAAATTTCATTATGCGGGCTAAGCGGCAACCTGCTATTTGACAATGAAACTAACTCTCCTACTATTTCCAAATGTTTGGATAATAACTTTGTCACTTGCGTGTTTTAGAAGATGTATTTTCGATGAATATTATTTCTGCGGAAAATTAATAAGGGTATAGTTGGGAACTTATTATTTAATTCAATTCTGAATGTATGCCAAACATGGCTTGAGAATTCAATTCATTTTATTTCTAAAGAATCGAATAAGACATACCAAACACAAGACTTCATTTGATAATGAATTCTACAAAGTAATTCATTTTAAAATGAAATGAATTCTCGATTCATTTTATACCAAACGGTCCGTAAAACAATAAGACTGTTCAATTCGCTCAAAATTTCATAAGAATATCGAGCAAAACATTTTAGTAGTAGAAAACGAGACATAAAGTTAACTCATGAAGTCTGAGAAATCGACCTAATCTAGATCACGATAATGAAAACGAGACAGGTATTTACGTGGTATCCCCGACGAATTATGACTAATCCACGGAAAAACTTGAATTTCTCCAGCTGCAGCTCTTATCGATTATTCATTTATGTTTGGCCAAAGCCTAGTACATGTATTTATACGACCCTTTTCATCATAAACATCAACTAGGGTTAGCTCCTTTTCTTGCTCGGATGTCGACGTTTTACTCCCTACGTGGGCATGGGCTAACATGATGGGCCAGACCGAGTTCACGTCCAATACTCCCCTGCAAGCTAGAGCATGAATCTTACGAATGTTTAGCTTGGACAAGAGAAACCACAAAACAAACGAGCTCATGGGAGTACTTCATGTTCTACTTCATTAAACTTTGTTTTGGCCAAGTTTAAAAGTCAATACATATAGCGCCTAACAGTATGTTAAGTATCATTAGCTTCGGTTTAACAGGGATTGAAACACCAACAATGTTTCATTTCGTTATTATTGATTTTGTAATGTCTGTCGAGAAGTTTGAAAATAATTATTAATTGAAAACTATATTTGCATCTCAAAAGTTAGGAATTATTTAAAATTTTATTTCGTTCCCTAATAACGTTACCTCCATTTAAACAAAAGTGTTATTCACTTCTAATTCATGGTAAACGTTGTAGAGAACATACCAATTATCTAATAATGTTAAATGTACAAATTCAATGTATACCATAATATTAAGATACAATTTCAGTTTGTAACCTAAAAAAGTAATTTTTTATACCAAAACACATGTACTAAAATTGTGAACTAATATTGTTTCACACAAATTAGTTAGTTAGTATAATTAAAGTGCAAGTATGCTTAAGGGGTCTGGTGGGATGTGGGAGAGTGTACCATAGGACCACATAACACTTATTTTAAAAATTATATATTTTTTTCATAATGCACGTTTTTCTAACTATCGATTAGGCAAGTTTCCCCCCTTTCGCTAGGACTTACCCTAAATGACCACCTAACACTTACCTTAAAAATTATTTTTTTTTTCATAATGCACGTTTTTCTAACTACCGATTAGGCAAGTTTCCTCCTTTCGCTAGGACTTATCCTAAATGAGTTTTTTCTTCTTCTCACGTATAAGTTTTTTTTTACTTTTTAACCCATATTTTTCTAACTGTCGATTAGACAAGTTTCCCCATTTCGTTAGGACTTACCTTAATTGAGTTTTTTCCTTATCACGTATGAAATTTTTTTCTTTTTAACCCACGTTTTTCGAGCTGTTGATTAGGAAAGTTTCCTCTTTCACTAGGACTTATGTTAAAGGGTTTTTTTTCTTCTCCCGCATTTTTCTGCCGTAGATTCGTGACTTATTAAACGTCATACTTAGTTCCAAGTTTTACATGTCATTAGTCATTAATCAGTATATGGGCTTTGCTATGACCTGGAGAAATAAGTTTATTGGTACCTCAAATACTAAATAGTGACAAAATCAATCTCAATCTAAATAGTTTGATATGATATTAGTATATCAACTTATACTCCCAAGTACACAAATACTGGGGTATTATGTTCAATTGACTAAACTTATACTTCCCTATTATTAAATAACTCATAATTCTCTAAATCTAAATTTAGTTTCACTTTAGTCATTCATCAATACAACTAGCTTATTACCCGGCCCGTTGGCCGATTACTGTATGTTACCCACTTGTGGAATGGGAGAGAAAGCAAGTGAGAGTGAAGAGATTGGGATTCCACTTGATTAGGACCGACCCACTAATTCGATTCTTCCCGACCCGCCCCAACCTAAAGGGTCAGAAAGAGTCAATAAGAAAATACGAACGGAGAGGATTAGTCATATATCTTGACTCTTCAGAAGTGGGTCAAACAGGATCAAGGTTGGGTGAAGGCAATTTTTAGCGCTAAGCAGAGTTCTGAGTTGAATAACTTTACTTAGGCCTAGAAATTGGTGCTGATGCAGACTGCAGTTTTTATTATACCATCATCAATCATCATTGAATTAGTCCTAGGCATCCCTCCCCGTTGTCAGTCTGAATTCTAATGATGGCTTCATTCCTTGCACCAGCCATATCAGCGAGTTGTCATCTCGAGCATGATTTGCCTATGTACAAATGATACAATTAGAGTATGAAACTGAATTAAAAGAAACGGAAAAGAGAATTCTATCACATGCCAATAAATACACACATAATAGTTGAAGCTAAGTGAAAGTCATTACTCGCACATCAATTCTCAAAAATTACAGACTAAACAATGGCTAGAACGGCCCTGAAACTACCAAGAATCATGGACGAAACAACTTGTCAAATTAAAAAACCTTATACTGAAACTACCTTCTAACTTGAAATAAGACATGATCACAGTTCATAGCACTCTTATCACTATGAATTGGTTGCAACTCGTCCTTATCACTGCCTCCCAAGCTCAATTCAAACAGAATAGAGACCGTTATCTAAGATAACCATATCCTTACTGATCATAATTCCTTTCTTCACTCCATTTTTGTCGGAGAAAAGAGTTATCCCCCTCTCCTGCATTTCCCTTTCCCCCTCTCTTCTCCCTCTTCTTCACAAACCGATCCCTAAACCAGCAACAACAACACAAAAATAGCCTTCTCCTCTGCCATCTCCATCTACTGAACGCGTTGGTGGCAAGACAGGTTTGCGGAAGCAAAATTTTCTAAAACCAAACTAAATTTTTTGAAGGAGACTCAACCACGAAAAAAGAGTAAAGCAACAATGCTAATAGTTCAGATGGTTGGTTTTGATGATATACGTTGCTTTTGTTATGGTCTCCAGCATATCAACTGCAACAGAGATGTTTCCTCCAATCATCTTTAGTGCACGATTTAGAAGTAAGTCCTCTTGTTTGTGTCAAACGGAAACATTCATGGGTTCTTAACTCCCCTGTTAGTGTAAATGCAGCAGCAGCAGCAAAGAAGTTTGACAACACAGCAAGCACCCAGGCAAAATGATACAATGCAGTAGGTGATATGTGTCTCGAAGGTTTTGAGTTACTAAAGTTCATGTTAAAAATAAACATGAATTAAAATGGATTATTCTATTAAGCAAACATCCCCTATTATCATACAAAGATCAGATATCCAATTCACAAATAATTAAGCCATAAAAAATCATCACACATCCACCACCTTTGATTGCCTAAATTTGGTTTTTCGCAAAGTTATGGACTCTTAAGGGTAACGTTCATGGGTAGTCTGTTTCATAACTCTAGAGAGCACAGTAAGAAGCCACCAACCAGACACAATGCGGTAGGCGAATATGATTCTCAATTCACAATTTCTCACCAACGGAAGTAAGAACATACCATAATAAGCGTAGCGTTCATGGGTGGTCTGTTTCATAGCACTACTACACAATTTGTTAAAAAAGAAAGAAAGGTATTTAGCATCACGAAGGAACAACTTTTACAGGCCAACAACGACAACATGCTGCAACCACCAGAACTGGTATCACAACTCATAGGGAAAATCAAAAGATTTACTCTCAAATTAAGTAGTCACAACATCGAGCAATCGTCAAGCACATACACCATCACAAAAGTCACGAAACCTGATTCACAAAGCATTCAAACATTTGAGGACATTTCTGCAAAGGTACATCAACATGCTAAAAAATTTGCAATGCATAAAACAAACGGGCAAAAAGTTGAAATTCAGCCTGTTTGACCGACCCATGCCAAATTATAATTATTTTTTACTTTTAAACTTTCTATTTGAAAATAAAAAATAGTGAAAGAAAAGAGACGACTACAATTTGCCATTTGCACATCCCTTATTCGGGAATAAAACCATAGAAATTCAAAAGTAACTGAAAATGTTTAGGATCGTTTTAATGTTTAAAATAACCAAATAGATCTTTATGTTTAGTTTTTTACTAACAAATACCAAACGATTCCCTATAAAATACACTATAATTTGATCATTATGATGTCAAATGATTATAAAATATATATTTGAAATGATAAAAATTGGACTAATTGGGTTGGTCGAGGTTGAACCACTGAATAACTTTAAAATACATTATATTTTAGCCACTAAGATAGAAAATAGTAGCATAATATATATTATGCCAGAGAAAATAGTTTGTTTTAGAATGACAAACCAATGATGTTCATTTGTTTTACTTGATGGCCAAATCCCATGTAGGTCAGGCTCATTCAACTATTTTATTTTATGGTTAGTGGTTAGCCCATTAGATACCATACATTAATTTATTGTTAAATTTTTTATTTTTAACAATAAAAAGGAGTATTATTTTTTCCTTTTCATATATATTTTATCACCACGGAGAAATGAAAGGGTATAAAGAAAAAAATTAACACTCATGGACCCGTTTAAATCCGCATGTGTACAGTAAGTTGGCCCGTTCCACAGAGGAAAGAGAAAAAAATTGACACTCCTTATTCTACCCTTCCTACAAACGCTCCTGGAGCAGGGAATGTGAAATGGGGGAAGAGTTTTTTCCACCCTGCTATTATATGTTTTTAATTTAAAGGAATACAACAAACGTACTTAGTGTGATTGGTTATTATCATTGCCTTTCTTTAAAATGGTCATGGTTCGAATCCCATTACCTATCTTTTTAATGAATAAAAAAAAGTAATTGTGAAGACCAAAATGTCCTTCCTATTTTCACTCTCGTTGCAGGAAATTTGAAATGGGGCTCCCGTTTTTCCCTTCGGCGTATTATATTATGTGTAGACTAAATAATTCATTCTTCTAAAATATTTCATCATAAACATAAACATTGGTTAATAAGAATTAGCCATTTATTATAATCATATGTACAGAACTTATACTTCAATATTATTAAATCACTTATAATTCACTAAATCTCAATTTAGTTTAACTATAATTACTTATCAATACAACTAAGCAATTCATTCTTCTATGATAGAGCATACACATAAGTTAATAAAAAATAGTCATTTCTTACAATCATGTAGTTAATTATACATTTGGTTATCAAGGATGAACCCTATCCTTCATTTATTTGAGAGGGCTTTGAAGCTTCGTGAGTTCAGGGAAGGTTTATTGTATCATGTTAAATTTTTTGGAAATGCTCGATATCTTGGTATATATCAATTCCAATTGCATATCTAGAATATTCAATACTGTTAAAAAATCAATGTCAATCACAAACCCAAAAAATTAACTCAGTAATCGATAATACCAAATAATGATAAATTTTGTGTGGTATTTGATGGATCCCAAAAAGCTAAACCAAACTTCCACCCCTAGCTTGGAACAATATTTTGGATATGGCAATCCTTGGGTTTTGGTTGCTGACTTTCCAAGTAATGATTAATTACTAATCAACTTAAATTGCTACTCATTAAATATGATAAAACTAATATGCACATGGACATGGTTACATGGAATAACCAAGTATTTCCATCCCTTAATGAGATTTAATATGGCCAGTAAATTTCGATTACCCCTAACAAACCACTATCCAAATAAAAAAAACACTACTAATGAATTAAAGTAGCTAAATTAGCCTGACCACTATTCACACGACCTCACGCGAGAACTTCATGTTATACTTCATTAGTAGGCTTTGTTATGACCAAATCAATTATGGTATGTTCGTTGTCCAATTTTAAAAGTCATTACATATATAAATTTACACACACACAATGACTTACTACCTAACTGTAAGTTAAGTATCTTTTAAAAAAAAAAAATTTGTTAAGTATCATTAGATTTGGTTCAATCGAGATTGGATAACCATCATTACTTGATTTCGTTATTATAGCTTTTGTAATATGTGTACAAAAATTTGAGAAAAATTATTCAATAAAAAACTACATTCACATCCCAAAAGTTAACAATTATTGAAAAACTTATTTCGTATTCTAATATCAACAAAGCCCATATTCTAATATCAACAAAGCCCAGGCCAATTATGTAGTTAAACTAAAAAAAGGTTATAAACATGTGGCGAAAATATAAAGACTTCATCACCAACACAAAATAGATGAAATATTGGCCTGGTTTGGGCGTGTGGCGCTCTCCCCACCGCTGCCAACACAGAAACCTTTATCCCCTCCAGGCTCCAGCCCGCCATTTGTATCCACAAACTCCTCTCCTTACCTTACTACAACTTACACCATCATCTCTGAATCACGCCCAATTCCTCCACTCCCTCAGCCCCTGCTGAGATTTTAGCATCCACTCCCTCCATGGCGGCGGCAGCAGCATCGTCATCGGCCGTGGTCGCTGGCGCCCCCTCTTCCTACTCCAGGCCCCGTTGCTACCCTATCCAGACCACAGTAGCCGCTCAAAACCAGGTTCTTCGCATCCTTCTCGACCTCCATAGTCATACATATTTTACAGTTTCACAACATGAAATGCAGCAGCAAGTAATCATAAGTCTACATAGATACCAGGCAAATGTAATCGGTCTCAGTATAATTTGACATATGTCTAGAAAACCCAATTCCAAGGGCTGTCCATACAAGACGCCAAGAGGCAGCAATCCTCGTCAGCCATCTTCATTAGTAGCAATACTGTCGACAAGAAGCAGGCGAGGAGAGGGCTGGAGATCAATGCCAAAACTGCAGGGGCGTCAAAGTCGATTGAAGTCGAAGTAGACAAGCCACTCGGCCTCACCCTGGGCCAGAAGTCCGGCGGTGGCGTTGTCATCACGGTCAGTCAGTCAGTCAATCATCCCCTCTCCTTACTGAATTCACATTTGTGAAATGTTTGAGATTAAGATAGAGAGCTTTTCTGGTGGATCAGGCCGTGGAAGGGGGTGGGAACGCAGCAAAAGCAGGGCTAAAAGCTGGAGACCAAGTGCTGTACACAAGCAGCTTCTTTGGGGATGAGCTCTGGCCAGCTGATAAGCTTGGCTTCACTAAAACTGCTATCCAAGCTAAGCCTGACTCGGTGTACTTCGTCGTTAACAGGTAATTCCACCCTCCACTGTCCATAGCCAATTGGGTAATTAGCTGTATTTTAGCTGAGTGCTGCAATTGGGATGAATGCAGAGGTGCAGCAGTGGACGTCAAGAGACTGCCAAAGCGACCGGCACCTCCCCGCTTTGGGAGGAAGTTGACTGATACTCAGAAGGCAAACCCTTTTTGCGCCTTTCACATATTCACAAGACACCCTAGTTTCTTGTTTCTACATTGCTAACCAGCAGCGAGAATCTCTTCCTTTTTGCAGGCTAGAGCTACCCACATTTGTCTCGACTGCGGTTACATATATACATTGTCCAAATCTTTTGATGAGCAGGTAAACTTGATTTCCTTCATCCTACCATTGTGTCAGAGATTCGATCGTTTGACTTTTCTTCCTTCAACTCTGCAATGCAGCCGGAAGGGTACGTGTGCCCGCAGTGTCTGGCACCCAAGAAGAGGTTTGCTCGATACGATGTCAGCACCGGGAAAGCAATCGGAGGTGGGTTGCCGCCAATCGGTGTGATCATTGGGCTGGTGGCTGGTCTTGGTGCAGTCGGTGCACTACTTGTCTATGGTCTTCAATGATGAGAAGCTGCACCTGCTGCTGCCTGCTATGTGCGTGCTCAAACATGTAGTCTAGTCAGACATTGCACAAGTGCATCTATCATCATTGTCACAAAATATAAGTGATTCTGAAAGTTGTTGAATCATCTTTTGGCTGTCATATCATGAGAAGTGAAAGTGTTCCACCATTGTAAACAAACTGCTAAACATGCTTATAATGATCTTCTGCTTTGCAATCTGTAGTCAAAATTTCGATGACCATACTCCACAAGCAAACAACTTCTAAATCCCTCAAATAGATGGCAGAAGAGTTGTAGAGAAAAACAAGAGATATAGTATATGCTTCATCCGGTAAATTTAACACACATTTCAAGCTCCAAAAGTTTGAATATGTACACGCTTGCAGTATACTTCAGTAGTCATAATTAAAACAAACAAGAAAGGATAAGATGTAGTTCTGCCATTCACTCTGATTCCAGAACACAAACAAAGGCAGCCAGAGAGCGGTAAAGATGACACACACGTATTTGATAGTCTAAGGCTCCACAATGATCTTCCCGGTGGCATGCCCTTCAATGCTCTTAGCCCAAGCATCTTCAGCCTTGCTTAATGGATACGTCGAGTCGATTACTGTCTTCAGTTTCTTCTCCTTCACCAGCTCAACAAGACACTCCAGATCGGCAGCCTTAACATCTGCCAAAAGTGGCAAGAGCTGCTTCTTGGAGAAGGTCAGCTTCTTCAGGGCAAAGGTCATGAAGGCACTTGGTCCAGGAGTGAGATCTATGACCTTCCCACTCCCACTCAAGTTCGGTTCAAATGTTGACCATGAAATACCAGTTGTGCAGTGAACCACAGCATCATACTTCTTGCCCGATGGGCTCTTGAGAGCTGCTCCCTCTGGTGTTTTGTAATCAAGAACCTCATCAGCCCCTAAACTCTTTACTAACTCAATGTTCCGTGCTCCACAAGTCGCTGTAACATGGGCGTTTCCTAGCTTTGCCAATTGAACAGCATACTGACCCACACCACCAGAGGCAGCAGTAACCAGAATGTTTCTCTGTGGCCCAGTTCCGTCTAGTTTGAGCCCAGCAACCTGAGTGAGCGCCTGGTAAGCAGTCACACCTGCAACAGGCAAAGCTGCACCTTCAGCCGCTGAAACTTCGGCTGGTCTGCCAACCGTGGAGCTTTCCTTGGCAGCTGCGTACTCAGCCATTCCACCTTCACTCTGTTGCCAACATGAACACCAAATGCAGAAAAACCAGCACATGTTAGGAACTACGACATCTAAGGTAAAGCATCACCTGGTTACATCATTGTCTGTCAAGCAAAAGAAAAAAGTGTCTCTACACATATTCCAGATGCAAGTGAGGGATGAACTCGAACATACCGATAAGGCGAGGTAACCCACGACTTTATCGCCAGCTTTGAACTTCTGTACAGCCGAACCCACCTCTACAATCTCTCCAGCCACATCAGTACCTAATTCAATGTAAATAATTCAATCAGCTCCGAGTTTGGTACAATTCCAAAAGCCAAAGACTTGTTCAATGACTCAATCTATCTCCTAAAATGCCCAACAATCAAAACATTATCATAACCCATCAAATGCACTAATCTATTTCCCCAAGAACCAGATTGCATCTCCAATTATAACCACACAAGCTCGAGAACGCGAAAATTACAGGGTATGCGAGGGAATTTGCGTGGCAGCACGGGGCGCATAATCCCCTTCTGCACTTTCCAGTTAACTGGGTTGATAGATACCGCTTCCAACTTGATCAAGACCTCATCCTTCGCCGGAGTAGGGATCGGAACTTCAGCATGCTGCAAAGAAAGCAAATGAAATCCAAAGAGAAACGTTAGACACACATCGCGAACGGCCGGCCATGATACTTCTTCACCATTTATCTCCAACCTCAACGGCGGAGCAAGCGAATTGGCGATCCAGGCTAGATTGAAATTAGAACAGCAAACAGCAAGCAAAAGGAAAGGAAAGGAAAGTGGAAGGCCAATTGAAACCTTTAAACCAGCAGCTCCACCGCCGCAGCTAGCGTACTGAACGGCGCGCATAAGCTTTCCCGAAGTAGATGCCATCTTCTTCTTTTTCCACCGAGAGCAAGCGACAGATTGGTTAAAGGCGGTGAGGTTGATTTTTAGCTTTTGTGAAGTGAAGTGAACTCTGGAATGCCTTGAAATTGGCTGTTTTGCTAAAATGCAGGCATACTCTTCCTGTATTTAAAAGCTAAACAGGCTTGCGACGGCTGTAACGGTGAATGCCTAAATTGCCCCCAGAGTATCGTGTGCGGCAGCAGGTGATGCCACGTGTGATGTGCCAAATGTCAGGAACACGTGATCAACGCTGTCTGGTTGAACATTTTGCGGATCAGGGGTACATTCATGGCTTAAGATTTAAGAACCAAGTAGTTATCAAGTTGCGAAGAAGTAGAGACTGCATCTGCATGTGAATACAGAAGCGTCAAACTTTGAAGCGCGGAGACGGGGGACTTATTGATCCAAATTCACGCGGGAGAGTTGTGCGAAGTAACAACGTTTTGGCCAAATAGGATTTCAGGTTTTAACGTAGTAACGTACCCTCTCCCCTCCTTCTCTTTTGATATATACTAGTAAAAGCCCGTTAGCTATCGCTTCGCGTATCGGAAAAATAAAATTTTAAAGAGTAATAGTTTTAATGTTGACCAAATGTGAAAGTAATCTTAGGGATCGTTTGGAAGTTGCGAATGTTAAATCGTTGCATTGTAATGAATCACCATAATAAAAATGCATGTATTGATTTTAACAATACATTGTTTGGTTGTTAAGATTCTACTTTATGCATTGATTTACATAAAGTTACTTTTATGGAGAAATATCATATTTATCGTCAACTTTTAGTATAAGTCAAAAACTTATTATGGATATAAATGGAAAGAAAAAGTTGACACAAATCTAAAAACAACAATCACAACAATCTCAACTTTTAGTTGAAATTGTATAATGCATCATTTTTTGTGATTGTTGGTGGGACCTACCTAAAACAATGCATACATTGTTTTACACTTTGGCACTTCCAAACATTGTATTATGCACAATACATATATTCAACAAACACAACTCTAAGGGGTCGTTTGGTAGATGCGTATTGACTCACTCCTACTGTCACTCTAGAAAATGGTCAAGTGTAACCACTTCCTAAAGCGTAGTATAGCGGGTTTGGGTTTTATTGTCAACCCGGGTCCTAGATGTGATGACTACTCAGTGAATTCGTATTATCTAGCAATGCAACTTTAGTGAAGATCTAAACTAACAAGCAAGCAAAGTAACTAAACGGTTGTTTTCAGGTTAAGAGAGGTCACCCGGATATGGTTCCCCCTAGTCTGCAGTTAAGCCGGATTGTAATTACCAAGTTCAATTTCTATGATAGTTATACTGCGGAAGGTTCTCAAACAGTCTGAAGTCTCGACTAAAGGTCTTCAGACCCTCTCAATCTGAGTCTCTAGCGGGCGACTAACCTCCACCGGAGTAAACAGATTGAGGCCCTAACGAACCAAACCTCCACTACCGAATGGAATTCGGTACAGAATAGCGAATTGGCCCATCGACTAAAGTCACCAATTCGCCACCTTCAATCAAGGATACTCTATCAACCTAGGCAGATATTCTCATTCTAGGTTAAAGTAGAAACAACAGGAATTTGATCAGGATTCATGCCATTCAATCATTCAAACCTCAATCGAATATAATCAAATCATAGAAACAGTACTTGGGTCCATACAATCAATCCTAACATACAGATCTAGGGTTTCCCACACCCAGATGAATGGGAGAACTACTCCATGGAGAAAGAAGCAAAAGCATAATCAGATGCGGAAACCATACTGTGAAGACGGATTTCTGCTCCTGGACGGTTAATCGGCACTTCTCCAAGCTCAAGCCAAGCTCCAATGGTGTTGAAGATCAAGCTAGGGCACTTGGAGACTCTTGTTCGTCGCTTTCTCTCTCTAGGAATCGTTCTGTCTCTCTAAAACTCGAAAATCCCCCTCTGTTTTGGCTGAAATCTGCTTAAAAACCAGAATTCCCCGACTCACACGGGCATGTCGCACGACTGTGTGGCTCACCATCTTGCCCGTGGGAGTCGAAACGCAGCGTACCATTAAGTCGATCTTCAGCCATCTCACACGGCCAGGGTTGCACTTTGCACGGCCGTGTGGATTTCACTTGTGCCCGTGTTTGGCCTCGCAGAATTCCACACGGCCAACATACATCCTCACACGGCCGTGTGGGTTTTCTGCTCTGCCCGTGTTTGCTCTCGCACAATCCCACACAGCCAAACTGGTCACTTGCACGCCCGTGTGGGTTGTGGGTGTGCCCGTGCGACTTCCTCAGAACCTCGCCATGCGTCCGATCCTCGTCCAATCGACCCCAAACTCGCTCCCAAGCCTCCATTCACGTACTAGGACCTGAAATATCATAAACAAGCACAACCTAGCGTGAAATCGGCCTAAAACACGAGAATCAATACCTCAAACGGAGTAAGAGCAGGGGTAAAAACATGTGTAAATAACGGTCTATCACGTATCTAAATGATGTGTTTAATGAATGCATGTATTGTAGAGAATGCATCGTTTTTTTGTTGCAAAAATAAAACACAATGCATGTATTTGATTGTTGATGTGACATTTGAAATCATTCAAAATGAATGATTTAGAATCTCAACTATTTGGTGAGATTGTATTTTGAGATTATGAATCAACTTTTCTTCTCTTTTATGCCCTTATCAACTTTTATATGTGATTGACTTTTATATCTAAAAGAAAGGGTAAATGTGACTTTTCATTCAAAAAGTTGGTTTCCTACTACATTCCTAAAAATACAATTACAACTACCAAACATTGTAATCTTGAAATGCAAGCATTTAATGCATCAATTTATAATGCATGCATTCATACAATACATCAATTTTAACAATCGCAAATACTAAACGAGCTCAACAATCACAACTTCCAAACGACCTCTTATTTCGTTCTTAATCATTCTTTTCATAGGTTTATTACTTACAATAGCATATGGTCGATGAACTTGCATAAGGTAGAAGGGTCGTCGAATATATTGTTTATGTTTAAACTTCTTTCATGACGTCAATGTTTCAATTTGCATGGCTAGTAGTTGATCATGCTATAATTTTTGAAAAATGAAACAACTTCTCTGGATTTTTTCAAATTAGGTTGGATACTCACGAATTTGGGTTCAATTGCCTTTCTCAAACAAAAGAAAAAAGCTAAATGAAAAACATTAATTAAGCTAGAACTCACTACCGACTCAAAACTCGTCAACACCAGGTTCAACTCGCTTTGACCTGGTTGGACCGAGTTTTGGAAAAATTCATACCTGACACAAAATGCCAATTACAAAAACAGATAAAACTCGCTCCAGCCAAAAACCTATAAAATCGGGCTCAAATCGTTTTGGTCGGGTCGAATTAGGTTGTATACCCATGCGTTTGGACTTTGGACTCAATTGTCATTCTCAACCAAAAGGAAAAGGATAAAAAAAATACTAAAGCAGATAAAACTCGCTCATGACCCCAACAAAAAGGAAAAAGTGAAAGAAAAAACACTAAAGCGAACGAAACTCGATCCCGATACAAAACACTCGTGACCACCATTGAGTAGATATGATATGGATTTTCGGTAGCGCCATTGGGTTCAATTGTGATCATGCTCAACAAAAAGGAAAAAGAGAAAAAATACTAAATATGATGAAACTCGGTCCCGATACAAAACTCGTGGTAGCGGCCTTGGGTAACGATGATGGGGAACAACTTAGGATTCCGCCGACAGTATTTCGAGATGAGCTGCAAAATGGTTGGCAAAGGCAATGATTTGTGCAAAAAGCTATAGACGAAAACCTAGCGAACAATAACTAAACACAAAGACGATGATTTGTGCAAAAAGTCATAGACAAAAACCTAGCGAACAATAACAAAACACAAAGGCGATGATTTGTGCAAAAAGCCATAGACGAAAATCTAGCGAACAATAACTAAACACAAAGGTTGTAGAATGAAGAGTGGGGTAAAAGAAGGGTTTGGAACTTCCCCACTTGCACGTGGAGGAGTGTGAAAGCCACTAAGAAAAAAGTAAAAGAAAAAACACTGAAGCGAACGAAACTCAATCCCGATACAAAACTCGCAAACATTGAGTAGATATTATATGGATTTTGGTAGCTACATTGGGTTCAATCTGAGATACTCATGATGAATGTGTTTGTTTTAGAAATGAGAACAAGTTATGAGTTGATGAAAAATGAAGAACTATCATTTAAAAAGCCATATGCTACACAAAATTACAAAAAAATGTGCTACAAAACAAGTCATATTTGGAATGGTCCCGAAGTTAACGGTAACAAATTAACGACTAATTTTCTCAATTTTTTTCGAATCGGAATTTTTAAAAATTACATGGAAATTTTTGGTTTTTTGTATTAATAATAAACTATAAAAAATTTAAAGTGAAACATAAAAATTAGAGGCCAAATAATAAAATCACTTACAGGGTTGGAGTTAGTAGATACAATATCTATACATTTCACACCACAAACCTTAGCTTAGGTTCAGCAAAAAGCGCAACCCACATGAATGATATGGGCCGCATACGATGCATGATATGGGCCTGTTGACTACGTACACCTTGCGTCAATACCGTCAACACTTCAAGCTCTTTTGCTACCTAATTATTTCAGATAGCTAGCGTATCAATTAAAATGCCCGTACTAAAAAAAAAATAATAATAATGCCCGTGATTTAAGATGCTTGCTTAATTCGCTTCTACGAGTATATATGTTTCTTAATTTATTTCTTCATTAAAAAACGTCAAACAATTGTATCAAATATATGAGATGTAACAAGAAGGGTTGCAAATGATTTGAGTCGCTCGCGAGCGGTTTGACGTTCGACTCAAGAAAAATTCATTCGAAACTCGGTTTGTTAATAAACGAGCCGAATATGAGCTAAGCTTTGTTCAATTCGTGAAGCTCGCGAGCTGACTTGACTCGGTGACTTATGGACGAATCAATCTATATCTTATGATTTTAATTCATATGGTTGTTAAATTATATATCTCGCCATATATAAAGTTTAACACGTTGAGTATGTGAGCAAAATATATCTTATTTTCTATTTTAAAAAGAAATCATGTATCATAGATTGCTTTGATACTAGGAAATAATATGATTTGGAGTAGTTAAAAATTATTAACTAAATGATATATGATACCAACAAAGTATAATATGAGATTAGCTAACAAAATAAATCATATTATCATTATATACAAAATAAAGTACCAAATAAAGGCAAGATTTTAGTAAACAAGCTAGTTTAAACTCGACTCGGCTCGACTTATTTGCCGCTTTAGTAACAAGCATTATAAGTCGGGGAAAGGAGGTGGGTTTGAAGTTGAGCTTGGAACATTTATCGGTAGAAGGAAAGTTGGTTGGTCAATCTGGTTGCCGGCCTGCAGGTTACTGCTGGGGAAGTTGTAACGAAAATCAACTAATCCGCAATTCAAAATCTCTAGAGCTTATCCGCCAATAATTACCCTGGAAACTACCTATACTACTCTTCCCAAGTTTCAGTGCTTGTATCCTTCTCCACTAAAAAATGGATTAATTATATTAAAAAAAGGATTAATTAGCCAACATATACATAATACATGAGACTTCCGCGTCCAAATATATATTCTTATTAATTGACGTGGAAACCTGACATAACAGAAAAAAAATATTCAGTCAATTCCAAAAAATTTAAGTCAACTTGTATAATACCTGCAAACAAATTAGCTAGTAACGGTTGATTATAGGTGAGATTTTCTTTCTTTCTTTTGAGTTTTTAGATTTCGAGTTATTGAGTATTTCGGTCCCCAAATGATACGACTCATAATAATACTCATAAAATTTTCTGTTTAACCAATCACGAAATACAAATTTGTTGATGGTACTATGTGATGCAAGTTATCGGATTGAGAAAATTCCACGATATTTTTCGCTAAATTTTTTAACCGAGGAAACAAAGTGAAAAAATTTATGAATTCAAAAGATTCATAGTGTGGAAAGATCAAATTAGGCAAGTGAACAATTAGTTATATACGTACGTGATTGTTACTGCATGATTTCTTTTGACACTATTTGTGAAGAGATCGATGACAAGAAACCAAAAGAAGAAGAAAGAAATGAATTCTAAGATAAAGCAATAAAAAACCTCTAGAATTCATAAGCGTATATTGTTACAAACTTTTTTTTTTTTTTTTTGTTGTTGTCTACGAATCCAGCGCGTGTTCGGCAACGTAACCAAGAGCGTCTTTGTAATTCCCCCAGGCGTCCGACAGCAAAGTGGCGAGCAAATCCGACACCTCCTGCCCCAGCTCCGGCAAGTCCTTCAGCAATCCTTCCAGCGAGTTCCGGGTCTGCTCCATCAGCCCGCCCACCGCCGACCCGGTCGTCGTCAACGACCCGACGATCGCCTCCAAAACGGCGTCGAACGCCGCCGAAACGGCCGAGGTGGCCGCTTCCCAGACGAGCTGGAAGATGTAGTCCACCACGGACTTCAGGCCTTCCCCGATGTGGCCCAAACCGGTCTGGGCCGCCTGGCCCGGGACGCGGAGTCCTTGGATGATCAGGACGACGAAGTGGGCCGTCGCGCTGAAGATGGCGCGGGAGATTAGGTTCGACACTGCGCTGATCGTGAAGAAGATTAGCCTCACCAGCAACACGATCATTTCTTAATTAATCTCTAGCTCGGCTTGATTAATTATGGAGAGTTGAGAAACGGAGGAGAAAGGAGGAAGGGAGGAAATGCGTGTTTGTTTGGAGTTTGGACGAGATCATAATAATAAGACGAATAATATGAGAACCTAACCTAGCTTATATATTTATATTTATATATGGACGTTGAATTGATGCAGGGGCAGGGGATGATCCATCTGTAATATGTGACGTCGAGTTATTTATTTTTTATTTTTTTTTATTTTGGGATTGAGGAGTAGTTGTTGTCCTCACTCATCACGTCTTGTGGGGGATTTTAAAAGCGATTAGTAAACTTTTCTTATTGTTATAAATTAATTATTATTACTACTTGGGGTTTTTTTAAGTCGGGTTTCTGCAACTAATACATATAAACATTATTAAAAGTTATAGTTATGGTTAATATGATGTAAGCTGGCTCTTATCTAATTTTACTTGGAATAAATAAATCATTTAATAAGTGGTGATACACGAAAGCAAAAATAAATTAAGAACTTTGTTAAAAGAGTTCAAGGTTGATAAATCTCAATTTTATTTAATTGACTTCATCATACAAACACAAAACGGTGTTTGGCCGTTGTGGGTGTGATGTATTTATTCGAATTAAACATTAATTGATTGGGTTTGTAAAGGCGAAAACATACATCTCTAGAAAAGGAGAAGTGTGGATTGCTTTTCTGGCAATTGCTTTGCTTCAGAGCCAAAACTTGCCGAACCCTACAAGTTACAGGAAGATGATGTGAAAGCCATTGTTTTGGTTGTCAAGAACCAGTTGAAGTTTGCACAGGTCTGAAGACAAGAATACCATATGCTTAACAAATATGAGTCACTGGGAATCGAACACAAGACCTCTCGATTACAGAAGGCTCTGGAACCATGTCAAGAACCAGTTGCTCCTAATAACTCGAGTTGTTGGGAGATGTTCAATCGTGGATCATATACCACAACACTAACATTGGTACATAATTGTCACTTGTATACACAGAGTTGAAGAATTAGAAACTTATGATCGGAACCAACCCATTTGATACAAGGAGAAGATCCATTCCATCACGAGACAATTTTGTACACGAATTTTGTACAATGGTCCCATGGCTTCTAAAATCAAGTAGTATACTATAGGATCCGCTTTTAGTTATGGTTGGTAGAATCTGGTTGCACCAGAAAGGCGACTCCCTTTTGTTGTATAATTCGTATACAACACCGTCCAATCACAGCGCGAATGTAAGTAAGCCCTCTGGATTCAAGGAAATCATTAATCAATTTGTGAGGGAAGTTTTGAGCTTCGTAATGAAGAAAATTCAACATTCGTGGAATATAAAACAGAATCGGAAATTTCTAATGAAAATATTCCGAAGCTCTCAAAATAGACAATATAACTTTAATAATGATAATTTGTGACGCCAATGATCGCATAGCCTGATTGGTGAACCCTCGTTCTGGACGTGTGAGATACGAAATTCAATCTCCCTCAAGGTTCTTATTGGTCGATGCAATGATGATCAACTGATGCTATATATGTTATATGGTTTGGGGCAAAAAGAAGGAAATAAGAGGTTCGAAGGTGGAGCCTCAATGCTAATCAAGTCTGCGAGCCCTCAATCAAGGTCTCACCAATTGCTCGCGAGTTGAGACTTCACATCATCGACAAGAACCTCAATTTCAAGGAGGTCTTGGAATGGACTGAGACTTTAGAGCAATTGTCTAGCTCGTGGCGGTAAAGGAGCACTTGTTGGGAGCAATGCAGTTAAAATCGCGCTTAAAAACTTACGGTTTTACGCTTTTAGGACACCAAATCGCTTTCGTTTCTATATAAAATCTTTAGTGTATAAAATCGGACTAAATTGCACTTTAAAGGTTAAAAGCTTATGCTTTTACGCTTCTAGCTCACCAAAACGCTTTACGCTTTTACGCTTCTACTTCACCAAATGAGTATTTTTTTCATGAAATTAATTATAAAAAGTATAGTTTAAAGTTAAATCACCAACAATATGATACATTTCAGATTAAAAGATACATACAATGTATTCGGATGCACTCTCAGTTTCAATAGAGTAATCTAATTCACCAGCTAGGCCCTTCCTAAATTCATTAGCATAAAGGGAAAGGTGACTAGTTAAGATCAATGTTTATGAACTTATTGTTAAGATGCTATAAGTTTCTCTACTTTAGACATGATTTGCAGGTGCTTATTAAATTATCTAAATTACGTATACTTATATTTTACATAGTATGTGTCGTACTAAACAGAAATTTTTAGCTATTTTATAGCATGCGTCAAAAACTTACGCTTTGATTCTACGCTTTACAATTTTACCCATTTTCCGCTTCTAGGTAGAATCGCGCTTTTGACTACATTGGTTGGGAGGCAAACCCATCCCAGTTTGATTTCTTCTTTCTTTTTAACTTTTTATGCTTTTAGTCTAGTTGTAAACAACTATCTTGTGTAAATTTGTGTCTTCCTATCTTGATGTGTGATCTACCTCACTTCCAAGAGCTTAATTGAATCTTCAATTGACCTTCCTTCACCTTCTTCACCGATTGAACATAATGGTAAACTTGTTTCTACACACTTCTACCTTGTCTTGTGCACATTGGAACAATGTGTAAGTTAAGTGTGTGTGTGGGGAGGGGGGTGTTTAGTATACTTGTTTACAAATGCTTACAGGGTATCCTTATGCTTATTATGTATTAATCTTGAATAGATTGCTTGTATAGCTTCCTTTTAGTGATGATGATTGCTTGGAGGCTTGTATCGTACAACCAAAATTTTCAAATTGTTAATTATTCTAACCGCGCACAAAAAGGAAGCGTACCATGATGATATGAACATACCAATATGGTAAGAAAATTGAATACATGATAGTAGGAGTATATTAACTGTCATTTACGACTTTCATTGTTTACCACAAGTTACCACCCACGTACCATAGTGGTAAAGTATGGTAATATTTGCTCGAGTATTTTTTTCACCCATAAATTTGTAGATCCAATAAATCATGATGAACTCGTTCCTTATGAGCAAACGTTTTCAGAAACGACTTAAAAACGAAGAAGTTACCATATGGTATGTAGTTGGCAAAAAAAAAAAGTTTCTCGAAATATATTGAAAATTGATCTCATTTTGTAGAGCACAACGAACTCGTTCCATATGTGCAAAAAAAAAAATGAAATCCGAGTTAAAACGAAGAAGATAAGAGCCGATTATGAAAACTATAGAAAATAAAATATCTTTAATTGACAACCCTTATATCTGAATTTTCTGAATCCACTTAGATCTAAATGTTCAGATTTAGTTACTCATAGGTCAGTATCCTAAGCCAAGAAAGCGAGGCGGGCGGGGAAGCCATTTTTTCTTAATTTTTTTAGTTCCCAATTTTTCGTGTTTCTATTGCCAAAATTGATCAGGCAAAGAGATTTTTTTTTATAATGACACTGGTTTATCTTGTTGAATTTTCTCTCACTATAGCTACGATGGCGGTATATTCCCTAATTGTATTTGTTGGTGTTTTTCTTCATGAATGGTCTTTTATGGTCTTGATTATACAAGTGCATGGACTCCTTTAACTAGTGACAAGAACTCTTGATTAGAGCAATTGTGACGCTTTTATTCAAGCGTAAAAGATATTTGAATCCCTATTTTAGGCAGTGGCGGAGGTAGTACATATCAAGGTGGGTTCTGGCTCGAGAGAAAATATGTACGTCTAGATTAATAGTGGTAGAAGGTTGTATCGGATAAGTCAACGGTAGGATATTTTATGCTGAAAATGTGGTTTAATCATGGTTCAACCATTTCATATCACTAATATCTTCTATCAATTTCACTTCCAGCATGAGATTTTTCTTATTGAACCACTAGTACGCTATGGTTCTTCACTCCTTAATACAATAATTAAGTGACAATGAGATTTTTCACCTAAAATTCATCAATATTGATCAATATTTCTACCATCAAACAATAATTATATCATGAATTTAGCTATCACCATTATATATAATACATTTTAGTTTCTGCATAAATAATATTAGCATAAAATATAACTTCATCCTCCAAGCTTCAAATCCTTAATGTATCCATTATCTATCGCCAAAGCTTCATTTTGTTGAAACTCACTAGATCCTTTTTATCCTAATAATGAATTCAATAAATCAGGTTTTAGATTCAAACTAAGGCTACACTGCAAGTGTTGAAAGAAAATTTTCAATGAACCACATGGATATTAAAAAAAAATCGGACCCACCTTACATAAAATCCTGGCTACGGCGCTACGCCACTGATTTTAGGTTACCCTAGAGCAGAAAGTAGAAGTAACTCACTTTCATTCAATCAATTCTATTCCTATATTAACTGTAGTTCTAATATGGGTTAATATATTTGTACTGCCCACATAATAAACATTCTGGTTAATCTTTTCGATCTATAACTTCATGGCCCGAACTATACACCAAAGTAACGAAATTGGCCAAACCTGAAAATTGTCTGTTATCTTGGACGTCCAAGGTCAACGCGCCACGTCACTGCCAAGTCAACACCTTCCACTTAATTTTTTTTATATTTTCCACCTATTACTATTTATTTAGTTTTCATTTTAAATCAAAAAAATTTGGAAAATGAAAAAATGAATTTTTGGTCCAGAAAAAAGTTATGCGAATTCAAACAAAGTTTCATGATATTCAGATTGCGGAGCACAAAGTTATGGTCTTCCAAAGTTTGTCGAAATCGAAAAATTGCTCGTTCGGGGTAGCAAATGACATTTTTTTGGGATGAAGGCTTGTTGCAGATTAAAAGATCTTGAAAATTTATGTGAAATAAAAAAAAATCGCTACAATCGGATAACCGAGCGCAAAGTTGTGTTCGTTTGAAGTTTCAGTGTTAGATCAGGCATTCACCGCGGTTAGAGGTGGCAATTGGATCGGATTCGTGGATTGAATTGGTGGATCCATGGATCAAATGG